TCTGTACATTGTTATAATGAGAAACTTTATGAAAATATTGACTTAGCATCACAGTCATTATTTTGAGATGATAAGTCAATATTTTTTACTTTACTACTTATTTTTACCTATGTCAAAAGGAGATTTTATCTCTCAATTCAATAATAACTTGTTTTGTGAAGTGAAAATTATAATATTATAATATAGTTAGTAAAAGCAATGTCATGATTATAACTCCTAAATGACTTTAGGCTTTTATTTAATTTTTTTTTTTTCACCTTCTCCATTTATTTTCTGGCGGGAATCCGTAGAGACAACTGGAGTGGGGGGGGAGATCGGGAACAAAACATGGAACCACTGTTTTCTCAGCAGCGACGGAATGTTTTAGCAGACGGACCACGGACAAGTAGCTAGTGAGCGGCCGTTGGAAACAAACCCAGACTCAAGTTCTTATGTCCCCCAGTTCAGTCTGCTTCCACTGTGACTGAGACTTTCGTGTTGAAGATGGGAGTACCGAAGTTTTACCGATGGATTTCGGAGCGCTATCCCTGTCTGAGTGAAGTTGTGAAGGAGCACCAGGTATGAAACCAGGGCTGAACAGCGTTAGCTTCACAACCCGCTGCCGCTGCTAGCCGCGGCGTTAGCTCAGCTAGCTGCTGGCTACCAGCGAGCTAAGTGAAGCGGGCCGAACAACTTTTATTCCGCCTAGCTTACCAACGTTTTACCCGTCGACAGCACAGCTCTCTTGTTGCTAAACACTTTGCACTCCGTTATTTATCACAACATGTGCTTCTGTGTTATTTACCAAATCCCGAGACTAACTATTAGCTTTCCATGTTGGTCTTCTACCTGCAAGTCACACATTTTAACGTTGAACAGATCAAAGTGAACGTAACTTAGTGACTGTGTTACCACCCGGTAGTTTGGGTCTTTGTTGGGCAACAGCACTCTGACCAATTATAACCCTCACAGCCAGCCAGCTTACAGCCACCGTGCTCCAGTCTTTAAGTTGGTTCAAACGCAGCAATTGTGTCGTAAACCTGTAGTTGAACCATTTTTAGTTAACCTTACATTACTTATGCTACTTATTTAGGCTACTTGGGCTCTCTGGAGTGGACTTTAGTGACCTAGTGTTCCTGTAATAAGGAAGATAGTATTTCAGTGCTTGAGCAGCAGTTTCATCAGCTGCTCGTTGCTCAGTGTCACTCTCATTGCATAACACTGCTTTCATATGTGCGTTAGGTTAGCACAATCAAAAGGACCGTTTTATATTTGATACCAGCTGGTGTGGAAACTGTGTTGTATGACCTTCTGATACTTACGGTCAATCCACAGAAACCTTTTCCAACAGGCAAACTGTGGATGTCATGGATACGGGTGGAGGAGCAGAATTGTTTTGGTCAGGGTTCCCACACGTCTTGCAAAACGTGGACATTTACAGACGAGTCATTGAAACACCTGGAGGGGGATTCAAATGACCAAACATCCTGCAAATAGTCTACGTTGTCCTGGAAATGTTTGTATTTGATCCCCTCACTCAGATCGCCTAGGCAAACATAGGTGTAACTGTTGTTTGAAACTCAAGCCTTTGCTTGGATAAACTGCGTGACACTTCAGAGCGGGTTCACCAGATGCAATGTGGAACTCACTTGCAGTGATCTTTTCGGGAATGAGTATATTTTATTATTATTTCTCCTTAAGCTGAACAATTCTACATACATACAGCCTTAGTGATAACATTACTGCTGCTGTGGTTGATAATGTGATGATATACATGCACAGCGGTGTTAATTGTACGTGTAATGAACAATTTAACTTTCTGTCAAATTGTATAAACTCTACCTGATTTGAACTGTTACTTATGGGCTTTGACCAAATTAATGTGATCAATTTGCCTGAAACCACAGTTTAATATGGCCGTTGGTAAGCAAGCTGTGTCCTGTATTGTCATATAAAAGTCTGTGAAAATGTCCTGGGAAATGATTTGTTCAGAGGAGTGGGAACCCTGTTGGTGACTGACAAAGATGAGTTGGCCCTTTCACTTATGGCTCCCACAGTCTGTCATGTGACGACCCCCTCGGTATGTGCAAACAATACAGAAACCTTTCTATTGTAGAGAGATGTTTTCCAGACAGTCAAGGCATTAATAGACTTTACAAGCTGCTCATTTGACAGGAGTGTTGCAGAATATATGTGCAACTGATTAGGACTACACAATTAATTGGGATATTATTAAAATGGCAATGTGGCCAGCTGCATATGTTTGCTGCTCCAGTTTTGTTTTTGTTTTTGATAAAGGTAGTATGTGTGAGAAAGCAGCATTGTGATGAAATCCTGTAGTGCTGCAGAGTTGCCCTGGTCTACAGATGTTGTTCTCCAGATGTAAAATAACATGTTCGTTTGGTACAGACCTCAACAAAAGTCACATCAGGATTTATAGGGATGCATTAATATATGCCTTGTTGACTAACATCGGCCTATTGGTAAATAAGATTGCATTCACTGCTTACAGCGGCCGGTGTTTATCTGTTGTGTCAGTTTTGCATTGGCTGAAGGTTTTGTTGGTTTTTTCCTACTTGGATATTGGAGAAATGATCTCTTCCATTTTCCAGCACTGGCACAAATGTCCCACAAATACATGCACCAGCACAAAAGGTGGAAAAAGAACAAAAAACCCCTCAGTATGAACATTGGCCACATTGTTATTTTAAACATCGGTATCAGCCCAGAATCGTGATCA